TTCCTAATGCCCGGATTAGTCTTATTATTCTCTCCGAATTCTTTTCCAATGATTCTATATCCATTCTGTAATACGGTGACCAGAACTGAACTGGCGTAATCCAGTACCCCACAAGAGCAAGATACAGTTTTAGGATGACCTTAGTCTTGTAACTAACACTCCTTTGTATGAACCCAAGCATTTTGGCTAGCCTTGAGCAGAGCAAAAACACATTGCTTTACGGCTTAAGGCTCCTACTTATCATTTTGCTCCACCGGTAAGTCTCGCAGTTTAGATTTCTATGCGGCACGCGGAAATTATCTGGTATCTGGTTTTGTTTACATCTCCTCATAATGTTGAGTACTTTACATTTGTCCACGTTGAATTTCATCTGCCATGACCATTCCTTTAAATTTGTTTAGATCTTCCTGTAGCCTTGCTGAGTCCTCAGCTAGATTTAACAGCCCCATGAAAGTGTGTCATCATGGTACCATTCATGGTGCCATTATTTTATGTCGTTTATGTATATAATAAATAATAATGGTCCAAGTACTGAGCCCTGGGGAACTCCACTAGTGACGTTGCTCCAATGGGACTAAGTGCCGTTAATGCTCACTCGCTGTTTCCTGTCCTGTAACCACGCCCTAATCCATTTAAGGATATTACATTTGATGCCATGTGCTTCTACCTTTCTAATTAGTCTTTCGTGGGGGACTCTATCGAAGGCTTTGCTAAAGTCGAGATATACCACATCATAATTGTGCCCCTCGTCCACCGATTCGAAAACTGATGAAAAGAATGTTAATAGATTAGTTAGACAAGAACGTCCGCTTGTGAAGCCATGCTGGGAATCATTGATCAATCGGTGCTTCTCCATGTGATTTCGAATAGAGTTTGAAATGCTTGCCTCCAGTAATTTGCCTACTATTGATGTTAGACTGATTGGGCGGTAGTTAGAGGATAGTGATCTATCCCCCTTCTTGAAAATCGGTATTACATTCACTATCCTCCAGGATTCTGGTACTACACCTGTTTTTAAGGACATGTTAAACAACTTTGCTAAGGGCATACTAAGCTCTTCCTTACATTCCTTTAATACTCTGGCAAATATCTCATCGGGACCAGGTGACTTATTAGGCTTTAGTTTGTCTATTTGCTGACTAACATCGTTACTAGTTACTACTATCTCGCTTAATTTGTTTTCTTCACTTTCTCTGAATAGAGTCGGTGCCTCAGGTATCATGTTTAAATTTTCGGTGGTGAAAACTGTTGAAAAATATTTATTCAAATTATTGCTCATTTCTCCGTCGTTATCAGTGAGCTCGCCGGTATCTGACCGTATTGGTCCAATCTTTTCTTGTGTTTTAGTTTGATACATTTGGTAGAATCCTTTGGGGTTTGTCTTTGCCTCCCTTGCTATCCTTACCTCATTATTCCTCTTGGCTTTCCTTATCTCGGTTTTAACCCTACTCGCCAATATCTTATAATAATCCTGGAGGTAAATTTTGCCACGCTTTATCCTTCTACCTATATCCTTCCTTTGGCCAATGGTGTTCTTTAAATAATCATTTATCCATTTAGGGTCATTGTTGTCTGATCTGAGTTTTTTGTATGTTCTGCCTCTGTGCATTAAGTAACTCATTATTTAAATTGACGTGGAACTCGGCAGTCTCAGATGTCGTTATCAGGTCGGAGTCATCTGTCAGGTTCACGGTCAAGTGCGACACCCCCTCTCTCTGCTGCCTCTTTAAACTGTCAAAGTTTGCCCTTCTGAAATCTGGTACTTTAGTGGAATTTTCCTTACGTCTGCCCTCAAAATCTAACTGGAATCGAATTTCTTTGTGATCGCTGTTTGTAAGTTCGTTCCCTACCTCGACATTGCTAATGAGGTTTTTTCTGTTCGACAGAACTAAATCGAGTATATTATTACCCCGTGTGGGTTCGGTTATATGTTGACTTAGGAAACAGTCCTGTATCGTCTCGAGAAAATCCTCTGATTCTGAGTTACCCGTAAGGTCAGTCCAATCTATTTGGCCAAGGTTAAAGTCGCCTACTATACAGACTTTGTTGTGTATGGAAGCCCTGCGCATTTCATCCCAGATAAGTCGCTCATTGACTCTATCAAGATTGGGAGGTCTATATATTACTCCTGTTAACACCCTCCAACACACATCAACACTCTGCAACACACATCAACACCCTCCAACACACATCAACACCCTCCAACACACATCAACACTCTGCAACACACATTAACACTCTCCAACACACATCAACACTGTCCAACACACATCAACACCCTCCAACACCCTTGTTAACACGTGTCACCTGCCTCTATACATTGTTTTGCTCGACCGCTGAGAGGCGTCTCTCTCTCTCTCTCTTTATTATTATTATTATTATTATTGTTATTATTATTATTATTATTATTATTATTATTATTATTATTATTATTATTTAAATGCAACTTCTCGCCTCCTGATACTTGTCGTGTTTGTATGTCTGTTGTGGTAGTGATAGGGGTGGTGATGCTGGTGGTAGTGTTGATTGTAGGGGTGGTGGCGGTGGTGGTAGGGGTGGTGCTACTGGTGGTGGTATGGGTAGTGGTTGTAGTGGTGGTGGTAGTAGTGGGAGGATTTCACCAGCGGCAAGCAAACTCATGGGAAAGTCGCTTCCTTTACACACACACACGCACACAGTTAGGTGAATGGGTGAGGTAGGGTAGTTCGATCGTTAATTAATGCGGTTGTTAGACGTGACACACCTGGATGATGAGGTTGTTGATGGTGAGGGGGTGTCCGCGGTCCTCCCCCTCTTCACCCCCTCCCTCTCCCCCCTTCTCTGTTTTGGGGCGACCAGCGTCCAGTCGGAGGAATTTAACACCCAAACAACCTTAAGTCAGGCATTTGGACGTGGGGGAGGGAAATTAGGTTGAGGAGGGAGTGTAAGGCAGCTGTCTCGCTATAAACAAGAGTTCCCACCCACCCTCTCTCCCCTCCTCTCTCCCTCCTCACCCCCACCCTCACCCCCCTCCTCCTCCCTCCCTCCCTCCCTCCCTCCCTCCTCTCGTCACTTACGAAGGGAGGGAGGGGTGAAAGAAAGGGGCAGGCAGATGTCCTCTCCGACACGCCTTCCTTCACCCCCCCCCCTTAAGAAGAGAGGAGGGGGAAGCAGCTGGACTACCACAATCACTCCCCCACCCCTCTAGTCACCTACGAGGGGGGGGGGGCAGGGAGAGGAAATGGGAGGGGGAGCAGATGTATCACACACACCAAGTTGTTCACTTCCTCCGCCACACACACACACACACACAGGTACAGTCACTCATACACCAGCTGTAGTGACCAAATATTACTGCTGCTTGACGGTATTCTTAATATAGTACAGGTAAACATTATTATTATTATTATTATTATTATTATTATTATTATTATTATTGTAGAAAGACATACAGTAGCTGTATGTATGTACAATAATACCAACTTGTTTCATCACTGCAGGACTCTGGTGTTTGTGTCACTAATAAGACTTTTGCTTTTGCAGGTATGTTGATGATGGTGAGGCGGACAGGTGTGGCGAGAGACCTGCAGGTGTGGTAAGAGTGGCTCATGGCATACGTCGGTGAGAGAGGTATAAGCCTAACAAGGAAGGTAGGGGAGGGGTGGTCTTAACTCCGGGTCACATAGCCGGTGTTCCAGTTTATGACAACAGGCGCATCATCACTACACAATATTTACACTTCCCAAAAGACCTTTACTCTCACGTTGGTGGCAGATGTGCGAACGTGTGTCTTTGTGGGATACTGTTTACCTATGTATACCTGTACTGTCTTAATTACATTGTACACCTGTACCGCCATGTATACTGTATACCTGTATTATCATAAGTACATTGTATATTTTATAAAGGGGTTTATTTATTTTGTTTAATTTCCAATTTACCTATAAGCATTTATTGTGACGTAAACGAATATAAGGAGAAAGGTTACAGAAAGTCACTTGGCCTAACCTAACCTAACGGGAATTATTAGACCACAACTTTATTCCAGAATCTGTTGTTGTTGTTGACTAAAATGGTTGATGGAATTGGAGGCGTATACAAGTAGTGTGCGTGTGTGTGCGCGCGTGTGGAATGGTATTAGCTTCGAGGTCAGGTCACGGACGGCGCCCGTGTGTGTGTGTGACCTCTCTTACCCTAACCGTTCTTATTACCTGCCTCTCACTTTCTCCCTCTCCCTCTCCCCCATCCCCCCTTCCTCCACAGTCCTCCCTACTATCTTATCTCCCCTTATTTCCCTCATCCTTCCTCACCACTAGTAAACAAGGGAGAGTAAGGTGAGGTAAGGTACGGTATTGCTGCATTTAACCCTCTTATAAGGACACCCAAGGAGTTGCTCTCTCTCTCTCTCTCTCCACAAAGCACCTACCTATCTTACCAATATATCCTTCTGTTATGCACAGTAGTGGTCGGATTAACACGCCAGACAGACAGTAAGCACCTGTTTAAAGAGAGGTTTGATAATGTGACAGTAAAGGAGTTTTGGTGGCCTCGTGTCTCGCCTTTTACGGTTACGCAGCGATCAATTCCCACACATTAGTTCACCGTTTTCTATGACCAAGTGGGCCTCTCGCACCACACCCCCCCCCCTCTCTCATACTTCACACTCAAATACTGTACTACCAACTGCTATCCTCCGCACTGGCTATCCCCTCACGCACTTACTTCACGATAAACTCATAATTAATTTCACGATAACATTATCAACCAAACATACATGTATACATACCATCAACTTTCACCTTCTAACATGAATATTTTCCCTTATATTATGTGTATGGGTGTATAAGGTGTAGTGTGGTAGTGTGTGTGTTGGTAGTGTAGATGGTGTGTTATTATTATTGTTTGGGAGAATAGTGGGTGATGGAAGTGGGGCCCGTGCTGGAGCGTAAGCCTTGGTGCAGCCGCTACGGGAGGCCCGGCAGCGAGCATAGTGAGCCGCGTGTGACGACAACCTCACTCTTGAACAGCGGGAAGGGAGTCCAAGTTTTCACTGTGTAGGATGTGGTGGCTGTGCTGGTTTTCCGCCCATTTTTACGAGATGTAATCGATATCTGGATGTATACAAGGTGAAATATGTCGGCCATTAGTGATAATATAGTGGTGAAGTGATACAAGTTACCGTATGTAAAGAAATAGTGCGGATAGTGAAGTTAGAACTGTGTCGGTGAGAGTTGTTGTGTGTACCTGATTGTGAGCTGCCAACAATCGTGGTGTCTCTCTCCTCCCTCACTCCCTCTACCACCATCCCTCCCCCCTCTCTCTCCCTCCCTCCTGTCTCCTTGCCTCACCCTTGGGGATCCACACCATTCCTATTATCACGGTGTTTTGTTGTGTTGGTTTACCATGAGGCGGAAAGCTCACAAAACCAATAGAAAATCGATTATCGCTGCGTAGCGTACATTAGCTGCCTGCCTGGCCTGTAGTATAGTGTGGCTGGTGATGACGGCTTTCACCTCACAGCCTCGACGTGTGCTGTGGCCGCCTCCACCACCTCCTATAGTGTGACGTTTGGGAAGTAAATGAAATACTTATTGAGTTGGAGTTTAATGCTTAGTGGCTTGTTATAACGTGTGTGTGTGTATGTACACGTACGACAGGCGAGGGTTGCATGTCTTCATATTGTCCACCTCGTGCTGCCCTAGATACACACACGTCATTTAGTCTGTCTCACTCAACCCACCGAATCTGTTTACTTTAGTCACGTCTTAACTAATGGATCATCACCTCAAGTCTCCACCACCAGCTTTTATCACCTGAAGATTAACCTAACCTAACGATTAACCACCTTAACGCTAATCTATCTCTACTAAACGTTACCTAAACCCCACAAAGAAATAGTATTAGCGTGGTTAATATTCAGGTGATATAAGTTGGGGTGGCTATTCTTCAGGTGATCCACTCATGTCTTGTTTCAATCATGTACAGGGTAGGTCAGCCATATAGCGGGGATGTCTTGTGTTGTCTGATGGAGCTTCTCCTCTCACCTCTCCTCACCCCTCCTTTCCTTACCCATCCTCTCCTCACCTAACCTTGGGTGTTTAATTATCAGGTGAAATAAGCTAGGGTGCCTATCAGGTGAAATAAGTTAGTGTGTCTAATTATCAGGTGAAATAAGCTAGGGTGTCTAATTAGCAGGTGAAATAAGCTAGTGTGTCTAATTATCAGGTGAAATAAGCTAGGGTGCCTAATTATCAGGTGTAGTAAACTAGGGTGCCTAATTGTCAGGTGTAGTAAACTAGGGTGCCTAATCATCAGGTGGTCCGGCTCCCCCCAAGTGATAAGATCATTATATATTCAACACAGTCATCACGTGTACCCCGTCACCCTGGTGGGCATTTTATTGACTGTAATTGTGTAGCTTCTCTCACTCGGATGGGGAGATTTTCTACGTAGGAACCTTTGGTGGTGTTGGGGGAGAGGGGGGAGCAGGTTCACTTCCAGGATGTTGCTCAACCAGCAGGCGTTACCAGGCTGCGCACATACACGCACACACATACACAATTGATTTTCCTTAATGACTTATTTACATATAGTACTTGAGATGTGTACCGTCGGGCTGTGGTGGGGGGCACACTACCTCTCGCCTCGCTGTGTGTTTGTCTGGCGTAGCTTCCATAAGTCTGGCATTTAGGGATGTTGGTCACTTGTGTGTTGCGGTGAGCGTTCGTTCTTCTGACGTAGTAAAGCGTGACCCACGTAGCTCCGAAGCTTTTCATTGTTGGGGAATACCAGGCGATGTTGACTGCTTGTGGTGGCGATGTTGACTGTTTGTGGTGGTGTATGGCACCTTTAATAAGAACATAAGAAAATAAGGAGTCTGCAATAGGCCGGTTGTCCTGTGCATGGCAGCTCCTGTCGAGAGTTACTACCACTCTCTATCATCCATGAATCTATCTAGCCTCCTTTTGAAACTTTCCAGAGTTCCCGCACTTACTACAAAGTTGCTAAGCTTGTTCCACTCGTCCACCACCCTATTTGTGAACCAGTTTCTTCCTATCCCTCCTAAACCTAAACTTATCCAACTTGAATCCGTTGCTCCGAGTCCTATCCTGCTCGGATATTATAAGAACTTTATCTATATCCCCTTTATTGATTCCTTTCACCCACTTAAATACTACTATCATATCTCCCCGCACTCTTCGTCTTTCTAGGGAATGCAAGTTAAGTTTCTTTAACCTATCCTGATATGGAAGGTTTCTAAGTCCCGGAATCATTTTTGTCATTCTTCGCTGCACCGACTCTGGTGAATTTATATCCATTCTATAATAGGGGCACCAGAACTGAACCGCATAATCGAGGTGCGGCCTAACTAGCGCAAGATATAGTTGCAATAAGACCTCTGCACTCTTGTTACTTACACTTCTAGATATAAAACCCAATACTCTGTTTGCCTTATTTCGAACATTAACGCACTGTTTTCTAGGCCGTAGGTCCGGGCTTACAAGTACCCCTAGGTCTCTTTCACAAGTCGACTTCTCTAGGTTGATGTTAAGGCTGTAAACATTATAAGTAAGTGTTGCTGCCTGTGTTAACATAACAACGCAAGACTGGAGGAAACTAACTATTGGCCTATACTGGGTAGTTCCGTTTACACCCAACCCCTATCGCTCATATATCCAGCCAACCTACAGTATGTTTGAAGCTATCCAGCGTATTCGAGTTCCACTCATCCACTACTCTATTTCCAAACCAATGTTTACCTATTTCACGTCTAAATCTAAATTTATCTTATTTAAAACCATTGCTGCGAGTTCGCTCCTGGTTGGATAGTTTGAGTACCTTTGTTATATCGCCTTTGTTTAGCCCTGAGTTCTATTTATTCACCTCTATCATATCGCCCCTCACTCTACGTCTCTCGAGGGACTGCAAATTAAGATGCTTTAACCTGTCTCTGTACTCAAGGTTCCTAATGCCCGGGATTAGTCTTGTCATTCTCCTCTGAATTCTTTCCAAGGATTCTATATCCATTCTGTAGTACGGTGACCAGAACTGAACTGCGTAATCCAGGTGTGGTCTCACAAGCGCAAGATATGGTTTTAGGATGACTTCGCTAGTCTTATAATTAACACTCCTTTGTATGAACCCAAGTACTTTGTTAGCCTTGTTTCGAGTAAATACACATTGTTTATCTGGTTTCTATGTTTACACCTAGACTAAATTGTGTTGCTGGTGATGGTGTGTTGCCTGGTATGAGTCACTGTAATCCGTGCAATTTACAGTGATGTCTTGGTGAATTACAGCGATAAAAACATGCGCAAATCACTGGCATAGTTGTGTGTGATTTCCAATGATTTATTCGTGATTTAATCATGATATTAGTGACGTAATTTGTGTTTTAGTGAATGTGATTTACGGTGATTGATAAGTGAAGACAAGTGATTCGGTATTATAAGGCAGTGTGATTCATACGTGTTTAGTAAGCGTGATTAACTTAAAAAGGAAGGCAAGCGATTGTGCATGGTAAGTATGTGTTATTGACAAGGATACGGCGATTCACATGTTTGAAAGATAGTGTGATTCGGTGATTTAAAAACAACAGTGACGTACGGTGATTTAAGCAATTTTTTACTATTAATTTGAAGATAGCGTGATTTAAAGTGATGTTAATGGTATATCTAGTCAGAGAGAGAGAGAGAGAGTTGTATTTGTGTAATTGTGGTAGCCTATGAATTGTGGTCTCTCTCTCTCGCTCTCTCTCTTCCTCCATAAACGACGCAGAATATCTCTCTCTCTCTCTCTCTCCCCATAAACGACGCAGAAGACTGAAAAACACTACAGTTTTCTCAAAGGGGACGGTCGTGCGCGGTAAGTGGGTGGAGGAAGGGTAGCCGGGTGGGGGAGGTGAGAGAGGGGGGTGTAATGTGATATGGACAGGGGGGACATGCCTCGGCGATTTACGATAGTATACTGTACTACACCCTACTGTACACTACTACACCCTACTGTACTCTACTACACCCTACTGTACTACATCCTACTGTACTGTGCTACACCCTACTGTACTGTGCTACACCTTACTGTACTGTACTACACCCTAATGTACTGTACGACACCTCACTGTACTCTACTACACCCTACTGTACTGTACTACTCCCTACTGTACTACACCCTAATGTACTACACCCTAATGTACTGTACTACACCCTAATGTACTGTACTACACCCTACTGTACACTACTACACCCTACTGTACTATACGGTGTTTAGAAACTTCCCCTCATGATCCGTGATGTACCGGTACGTGGATCTTCCTCAACGGACCGCAATGTACTTAGATATGTACTTAGAATTTCTCGGACGGACAGAAAGTACCACCTTCAAGGAAGTTTTGTAAACACTGCTTTTGTCCTGCCTGGGTATTGGGCAGTGTGTGTGAGGAGCAGCAAGAAGACCATAACCACACCACACCTCACCACACTTAACATAACCACACCACACTTAACATAACCACACTTATTAACCACACCACACAGGTGTATAGTGAGTGGCCCTGATGGGGTACACCTTTAAGTCACACACACACACACTCTTAATTACAGGAAAAACTATGGTTTGGGACAATGTGTTGACCTTGAGGAGGGAGGGGGTTATGTAAGGTGGGGGAGGGATGGAGGCAGTACTGTGACGGTGGAGGGAGGGAGGAGGGCAGTACAGTGCCGGTGGAGGGAGAAGGGTGTCGGAGGGAAAGTGTGGAGGGAGGAGAGCGCTGGAGGGAAGGTGGGCGGAGGGGGCGGGGAAAAGGTGGGCGGAGGGGGCGGGGAAAGGAGGGCAGTACAGTGAGGGTGGAGGGAGGGCAATTGTGACGGTGGAGGAGGATGAGGCAGTACTGTGACGGTGGAGGAGGGATGAGGGCAGTACTGTGACGGTGGAGGGAGGGATGAGGGCAGTACTGTGACGGTGGAGGGAGAAGGGGTGTCGGAGGAAAGTGTGGAGGGAGGAGAGCGCGAGGGAAGGTGGGGGAGGAGGTGGGGAAAGGAGGGCAGTACTGTGACGGTGGAGGGAGGGAGGAGGCAGGGACGGTGGGAGGGAGGGCAGCTGTGACGGTGGGGAGGGAGGGATGAGGGCTGGGAGGGAGGGATGAGGGCAGGATGGAGGGAGGGATGAGGGCAGTACTGTGACGGTGGAGGAGGGATGAGGGCAGTACTGTGACGGTGGAGGGAGGAGGAGGGCAGTACTGTGACGGTGGAGGGAGGGAGGAGGGCAGTACTGTGACGGGGAGGGAGGTTGGAGGGCAGTACAGTGACGGTGGAGGGAGGGAGGAGGGCAGTACTGTGACGGTGGAGGGAGGAGGGCAGTACAGTGACGGTGGAGGGAGGGAGGAGGGCAGTACTGTGCCGGTGGAGGGAGGGAGGAGGGCAGTACTGTGCCGGTGGAGGGAGGGAGGAGGGCAGTACTGTGCCGGTGGAGGGAGGGAGGAGGGCAGTACCGTGCCGGTGGAGGGAGAAGGGTGTCGGAGGGAAAGTGTGGAGGGAGGAGAGCGCTGGAGGGAAGGTGGGCGGAGGGGGCGGGGAAAGGAGGGCAGTACAGTGAGGGTGGAGGGAAGGATGAGGGCCGTGGAGGGAGGGAAGTGGGCAGTGTTGTTAACATGTGCTGGAGTAAGTGGTTCCTCTCTCTTGTGTTTTAGACCCCTGGCAGGGAAGGCAACCATTGTTAGCCTTATGTTAAGTCACGACCCATGCCCCCCCATGGTGTGATGTTACCTGTGTGTGTTATGGTGCCAGGGTGTGTGGTGCCAGAGTGTATGGTGCAGATAGTGGTGGTGTGAGGTAGATGGTGGTGATGGTGTGGGTAGTGGTGGTGATGGTGTGATGTAGTGGTGATGATGCTCTGAGGTAGATGGTGGTGATGGTGTGAGGTAGATGGTGATGGTGTGAGGTAGTGGTGATGATGCTCTGAGGTAGATGGTGGTGATGGTGTGAGGTAGATGGTGGTGATGGTGGCGGTCATATTAAGAGGCGTGGTAGATGGTGTAGTGGTGGTAGTGGTTGTTATGTGGGTACAGATTGTGTGGTATGTGGGTATGGGGGTGCAGGTGTCTTGGTGGGGGTAGTGGTGGCTGTGTGTGTGTGTGTGTATGTATGTCTGTCTGTCTGTGGGAGAGAGAGAGAGAGGATGTAGACCAGGTAAATAGGACACGGTTACCTGGACGTCACACAGCCACCAGCTCTGACGTAACACTCGCCTCTGGTGGTGTGGGCTGACGACCCCAGCCCTGTGTGTGTGTGTGTGTGTGTGTGTGTGTGTGTGTGTGTGTGTGTGTGGAGAGAGAGAGAGCTTTACCGGCATCTTCCTCTTTTACTTATTATGTGTGTAGAGAGAGAGAGAGAGAGAGAGAGAGTTGCGACATCATATTGGTCGCTCATCCTTTTGTTTACTGTGTGTGAGAATCCTTTAGGTCTCTTGAGTGTGGAGGAGGAGAGGCACGAGGAAGCGGCTGGCAGAGGAAGAGAGACGGATGTATGTGGAGGAGGAAGAGGCAGGTGGAGAAGGAATAGGAAGAGAGGCAGGTGGAGGAGGAGAGGCGGGTGGAAGAGGAAGAGGCAGGCGGAGGAGAAGAAAGAGGAGGAAGACAGGCAGGTTGAGGAGGTGGAGGCAGGTAACGGAGACACGTAGCTTGTTGGTGGCCTTGTGGACGAACCCGCCCGCCTGTCAACCCTCCTGTTCCTTCCAGCAGTGGGTGGTGGTTGGGAAGTTGGTGGTGGTGGCGGCAGGGAAGTAGAGGGTGGTGGTGGGTGGTGGCAGGGGCTGCAGGGAAGTACCACCATCCACCACCGCTACCACCACACATGATTCAGTGCATCACAGGACCACACCGGTAGATGGTGGTGGTGGTAGAGTACAGTACAGTACTGGTACACGGGGTGACGGGTTATCATCTTACGCCGCCGTGAGAGTGCGCCAGTGCGGGCGAGCATCCGTCTGACGTAATTTCCAGGAAGGTGTCATTACGAGTTAAAGTTGAACGCCAGGCGGTGGTGATGGCTCGTGTTGACGCAGTGGTTTTGTAGAGTGTTGAGCTGAAGGTTACAAGAGAGGCGAAGAGCGTGTCATTATGGAGTGCAGAGTTACGCCTGGCGCTGATGATCGCTGGTGGTGGCGTTGGTTTTTATGGTAGGGTGAGCGTTGGTGTGGCGTCTCGTCGCCTGTATGTTGCAAGGGGTAGGGGGGGGGGTGTTAGTGGTTACCGTGAAAGAGAGAGAGAGTTATATTCCTCTCTCTCTCCCTCCCTCCCTCCCTCATTAGCAACACTGATAGAGCACCTCACTGGGGAAGAACTTACTACTGGTGAGTCCCTTAGTGTTGAGTGCCTCCTCTTACCACTTACTCTTACCTCCTTATATATATATCACCCCTGATACCCCTTATCTTTTTATCTCGCCCACCTCTTCCTTTATACCCCTTATCCTTAAACCTCGCCCCGTATACTTCTCCCCTTACCCCCTATACATCGCCCCTTATACCCCTTATCCTTTATACCTCGCCACTTATCCTTTAAATTATCCTTTAAACCTCGCCCTTATACCCCTTATCCTTTAAACCTCGCCCTTATACCCTTATCCTTTAAACCTCGCCCCTTATACCCTTATCCTTTATACCTCGCCCTTATCCTTTAAATCTCGCCCTTATACCCTTATCCTTTAAACCTTGCCCTTATCCTTTAAACCTCGCCCTTATACCCTTATCCTTTAAACCTCGTCCCTTATACCCCTTATCCTTTATACCTCGCCCCTTATCCTTTAAACCTTGCCCCTTATCCTTTAAACCTCGCCCCTTATACCCCCTTATCCTTTAAACCTCGCCCCTTATACCCCTTGTCCTTTAAACCTCGCTCACCTCTTTCTCGAATAGCAACAGTGTTAGAGAGAGAGAGAGAGAGAGAGAGTCGTGTCTTCTCTCTCAGCCAACTCACACACCAGTACTCCTACTCTCCTCCCGCCCTCTCTGACACCCACTTTACATGGTCTCTCTCTCTCTCTCTCTCTCTCTCTCTCTCTCTCTCTCTCTCTCTCACACACAATAATAATAACGTTTGAGGAAAAAATGAACCTTGTCGGGTAGTGGTGACGTCATCATGTAAACACTCGCTCGTGGTTTACCTTTTTTGCTTTAACTCAATTTTTATGTATTTGATGTTTACGTAGACTCCCACTTCCTTAAGAGGACTGTACAGTACACCAGAGTTCCGCAAGTTTTATTGACTGCGTAAAAATTCTATACAAATAAGTACTTATAGTTTGTTTCTACTCAAATTCGATAATTTTGTTTATGTACTCAGAAATGCATATACTGTAGAATTCTTCTACATAATCCCACCAGTTAGTCTTTCTACGCGGTGTCCAGATGTTTTATACGCAATCGTCTCTGAATAAACGCATTTCTGACAAAAGAGAATTTAGCTATTTATTGATATTATTTTTGATCAGTCATATATATATATATATATATATATATATATATATATATATATATATATATATATATATATATATATATATATATATATATATATATATATATATTAATTACAGAATTCAGAATTTTTCATACGCGAGGTTTCTGATACGCATTTATCCTAGTATTGACGCATTCCCTTACTGAATCTGTTACACCCCTCCCTTACATCTGCAACTCTCCCTTACACCTACACCCTCCCTTATACTTACACCCGCTTTACACCTACACCCTCCCTTACACCCCCATGCTATTGTCCCCGGGCAATAGCGTGTGTGTGTGTGTGTGTGTGTGTGTGTGTGTGTGTGTGTGTGTGTGTTATCACCTTGTCGCACCTGTGTGGACACCAGCACCAAACTCTCTGATAATTACCGGTCATTATCTTTCCTGTGTATCCTCCCTGTCTCCTGTGGGTTAAATCTCCTCTCTTTACTGGAGAGAGAGAGAGAGAGAGAGAGTATATATAAATATCTACTTAAGCACAAATATCTACTTAAACACCAGTAGAAATTATGTACATCGTTATAAATTACTTAAATGTAGCTTAATTGCAATCTTAATTATATACGTAAGGTAATTATATAGGGACCTTTATATACCTGAAGTTAACTATACCGTATATAGGCAAGTACAGGAATAACTAGGTACTTATATGCGGTATACCTGGGTATAAGCAACGTATTGTACACGTATATATAAAAAAACTAATCTTCATAATCTATCCACGTTGCTTGTAAATAAACACACACACGTACAGTACGTCACCTGCCTGAAGATAATTACAGGTGTGTACACAACAGTCATATCAGCAGGGTTGTAATCGTCTATACCTGAAACAATTATTACACAACTCTCATCAGGTTTGGGTTGAGTCGCAGGGTTGTAGTGTTAAGACTTAGTCGAGGTTGTGTTGTGTGTGTTTGTAATGTTGTGGGTTTGGTTGTGGGGTTATTGCGTAGATTAGGTTAGGTGAGCGTTAGGTTAGGTTGGTGTTGGATTAGTGTTAGGTGATGTGTTGTGATAGGTTAGGTTAGGTTATAAGCTGGTGGTGGTTGTGAAGGCGAGTCATGTACTTAAACTCGTTGTTGTATTGATGTTTCTGGATACCATTACTTGTGATATACATAATGGAAATGTATACCGATGCATACATAAGTAGACTTGGCCCAGTGAAGGTGTATATCGTGTATAAGAACTATAAAGTATAAATCGAACTAGTATTACAAGATGGAAATATATGAATGTGTTTAATATAACGTTATAGTGTATGAGGATATAACGGTTAATTATAATGACATATGTACAACAATGATGAATATAACGTATTAATATAGCGTGATATAGCGAACAAGTATAAGGAAATATATCGAAGAAATATAAGGAAATGAAAACAAAAATATTGGAAAAACGAAAACAAAATGAACGAAAAGAAGAAATAATATAACCGTTATATAATTGAGATCTATATACGGTTGACTATATCATGTAATATAGATAGACGGGGGTGAGAATATAACAGAGCTCAGGTGTGTGAATTAATTATCTGTTTCTCCAAGGTGTTACGGGACAGGTGACACTACACATATATTTCTATCCTAAAGTGCTCAAAAGTGCAGTAAGTGTATGTATGTGTAATCCAGTGGTCACAACAACAACTACCACCACTATTTAAAGAGATAAGTAGTGGGTAAGTGAATATTTTGAAAAGTACAAGTGTGTTAACAAATCAAGTGTCTCAAGTGAAGCTGTTGATGTGAAGTGCGTCACTCGTGTCTCATTATCGGGGTGAAGTGTGTGTGAAGTGTTCCTTATAAAGTGTTGGGGGGCCACTTATAAAGCCTCTTAAGTGATGATTGAAGTGTTGAGGCACTTATACTGCCTCTTAAGTGATGATTTAAGTGTTAAGGCCACTTATAAAGCCTCTTAAGTGATGATTAAAGTGTCGGGTGCAGTGTTGTGTAGTGGTGATGTAGGCAGGGTGTGGCTGCAGTGTGTGGTGGGTGGATGTGGCCTCAGGTATGGTCAACAGACCTGATCACATTAGCTGGATCAACAGCTACCAGAGGTGAGTACACGATCTACCTCTGCCTCTCTACCTCTATCTCCTTACCTATACCTCTACCTCTCTATTGTACCTCCCCCTCTACATCTACTTCTATCTACATCTACCTACAGTATACCTCTACATCTACCTCTATACCTATGCCTCTACCTTTATATACCTATACCTCCTCTACCTCTACCTTTATATACCTCTACCTCTCTCTTTCCCTTAGCTACTAAGTACAGGGAAGTTATGGTCTCATTTAATTAAGATATTGGTAAGTTGGTGTTTGTACGTTAATCGTGTGTATGTACTGTACAGTCAACCAAAGATGCACCGACCCCACCCTGGGTCTCGTGCTCGCAATTTTACCTGGCAATATTTGGTAAAATAAGGCTGTATCACTGTTAGGATAAATATTAAACAAACCAAAGGTAACATTTTATAATAATAAACTATTCATTGTTATTTAACGTCGTGAGAAGTTTCCAAATGTTCGTATATTTGCTTAAACATTGAAGAAAATTATATTAATGAATCGGCAACTAAAAAACCCACAGCTGCCACAAGATTCTCACATCAAATTTTCTTCAATAGGGTACAGGTACCTATGGGGGTACATTGCCGCACTGTTTGTAAACTTTGTGGTCAACCCGACTCTCACCCCCTCTTTCACTACATCCTCACTTGCCCTATGACCTCCTCCCTGACCAGATATCCCTCCTCCAAGTGACAGGCCTGGCACTTGACATTATTAGGGACCTGTCACACTTTGCCATAAACAGATAAATTGTACCGGGAATTATCCCCCCACACACTCATCATTCTGTCACTTTATGTAACTTGCTGACAAAACCCATGACACGTCAGGCTCTTACGCCCTTAATGCATGAGTCATAAAGGCAAGCATGAACTTAGCATGCTTCTCAGATGGGCGCTGTAAACGCTTCTGCGCTTCACCTTGCACAGGATGTAAGGGGGTGCCCAATAAACTAGCCCCCTCGGGGGGCAAGCTAATCTATAGAGAGGGAACACGGACAGACGTTACCTGGCGGGTTGAGGTGACCAGCAGTAGTATACCGTAATTAGCACGACACACCTGGCCGACCCACCCCACACACTGCTCAAGGCGAACCCCAGCAATACCTTTCTTTCTTTCTCTTTCTTTTTCCACAACACAAGCTCGACGGCGCAGCAGGGGAAGGGAAAATGAGAGAGAGAGAGAGATGGCAGACGTCCAATATATTCTTGAACACTTGTGGTCAGCCAGCCAGCATGAGGAGTAAACACGTACAGGTGAATGTTGCTTCCCTCACTTCTCTACCTGTGTATCCTCCCTCCCTCCTCTGTTCTCTACCTTTATATCTCCTTCCTTCCTCTCCTCCGTTACCCCCTTCCTTCCGTCCCTTTTTCTCTCCCCCCTTACCTTTCTCCCTCCTTCCCAACATACAGTGCCGGGGGTGTACTGTTGTAATGGTGGTGATAGTGGCGATGGTGTAGTGATGATAGTAGTGGTGGTGATAGTAGTGGTGGTGATAGTAATGGTAGTGATAGTGGCGGTGGTGATAATGGTAGTGGTGGTGGTGATAGTAGTGGTGGTGATGACAGGTATTGGTGACCACTTAGCGAGCCGTAAGCCAGGTGTGAATTATGACCACCTTACGCCATTGATCGTGAATGACTCTGTAATGGAGGTGATTGGTCACTTGTGGCACAGGAGAGAGAGAGAGAGAGGACTTTCAGGATTATAAGTTTTACATTGCGTGTACGGTATTGTATCCGTGTGTGTGGGGGGGGGGGTACATCATCAGCTCTCTTACCACTGACATCCTCCCCTCCCTCCCCCAGGTACCGTTACACCTAGGTGAGTAAGGCCGGCAGCAGCTCCACCACAGCACCTTACACACGATCCCTCAGCCTAATTACTTAAACATATACACCTGTCCTACTTGTGCTTGTTGTCTAGTGTGAGCTGTTGTGACGTTTACCGGATGACCTAATCTAACCCTTTCTGCGTAAGTTAACCTAATATAGCTTAACCTGACGATATTGCTGAACATATAACCTAACCAGTCTCTCTCTCTCTCTCTCTCTCTCTCTCTCTCGACGAGCCGTGAAGGCTGTCGTGGTTGTGACTCATCAGATGGGTGTTAATGTTGTCCAGGTAATCCGTCCGTCCCCTTACTTGTATAGTGTTAATGACTCTCCCCCTCCCCTCCACCCCCCTTCACCCGTTCCCTCCCCCTGCACCGGTCGCCATCACCCGTACAGTTACAGTTCTAATACAGGTACAGTAAACTAAAGGTACAGTCTCGTTCAAGATTCTTTGAACACTGCTGGAGACAGCTGGCAACTCAATGGCCGTTTGTTGACTATAGTACGTAGTAAAAAAATTTAATAAATGTAAAAGTGATCGGTGATTGGTTACTTAGTTCCCCATAACTTAATTTAATGGTTGGGCTTTGTTGTTTCGTATTATATTATACTACATACTATAGTAAACAAACGGCCTTGAGTTGCCAGCTGTCTCCAGCAGTGTCGCGAAGAATCTTGAACGACTGTACATACATACATACATACATAATTACCTGGTCGTTTCATTCCTTTGTTTACTTTTTTGTCTCCTCGGTGACCCTGACCAGCCTGGAGCAGAATCTGGGTCACGTGTCAGTTATGTTCACCTTCAGGGACCACTGTGTCCTGTGTCTCTTACCTCCCTTGGTGCTTACTGTATGTTTCACTGTCATGTATCTGAGTTGTATACTGTATGTGTCACTGTAATTACGTAAACTTAACTTTTTTTGTGTTTATAAACTTATTAATCTACGTTAGGTTAGGTTAAGTTAAGGTGGTTAGGTTGGGTTGGGTTAGGTTATGTTAGGTTGGGTTAAGGTAGTTTGGTTAGGTTATGTTGGGTTAGGTTATGTTAGGTTGGGTTAAGGTAGTTAGGTTAGGTTATGTTGGGTTAGGTTATGTTAGGTTGGGTTAAGGTAGTTAGGTTAGGTTGGGTTAAGGTAGTTAGGTTAGGTTGGGTTAAGGTAGTTAGGTTAGGTTATGTTGGGTTAGGTTATGTTAGGTTGGGTTAAGGTAGTTAGGTTAGGTTGGGTTAAGGTAGTTAGGTTAGGTTGGGTTATGTTAGGTTCAGTTCAGTTCGGTTGGGTTAGGTTCAGTTCGGTTAGGCTGATTTAGGTTAGGCTCGCATAGGTTAGGTTAATTTAGGTTCGGTTAAGTTACGTTAGTGTCAGGAAGGTTAATCTTAAGGTTAGGTTAGGTTAGTGTCAGGAAGGTTAATCATAAGGTTAGGTTAGGTTAGGTTAGTGTCGGGAAGGTTAATCATAATGTTAGGTTAGGTTAGTGTCGGGAAGGTTAATCATAATGTTAGGTTAGTGTCGGGAAGGTTAATCATAAGTTAGGTCGGGAAGGTTAACTCTATAATGTTAGGTTAGGTTAGTACACATGAAGGTTAATCATAATGTTAGGGGTTAGGTTAGTGTCAGGAAGGTTAATCATAATGTTAGGTTAGTGTCGGAAGGTTAATCATAATGTTAGGTTAGGTTAGTGTCGGGAAGGTTAATCATAATGTTAGGTTAGGTTAGTGTCGGGAAGGTTAATCATAATGTTAGGTTAGGTTAGTGTCGGGAAGGTTAATCATAATGTTAGGTTAGTTTAGTGTCAGGAAGGTTAATCATAATGTTAGGTTAGGTTAGTGTCAGGAAGGTTAATCATAATGTTAGGTTAGGTTAGTGTCGGGAAGGTTAATCATAATGTTAGGTTAGGTTAGTGTCGGGAAGGTTAATCATAATGTTAGGTTAGGTTAGTGTCGGGAAGGTTAATCATAATGTTAGGTTAGGTTAGTGTCGGGAAGGTTAATCATAATGTTAGGTTAGGTTAGTGTCGGGAAGGTTAATTATAATGTTAGGTTAGGTTAGGTGTCGGGAAGGTTAATCATAATGTTAGGTTATTAGGTTAGTACGGGGAAGTTAATCATAATGTTAGGTTATTAGGTTAGTGTCGTAAAGGTTAATCATAATGTTAGTTAGTTTAGTGTCAGTATGTTAATCATAATGTTAGGTTAGGTTAGGTGTCAGAAGGTTAATCATAAGGTTAGGTTAGGTTAGTGTCGGGAAGGTTAATCATAATGTTAGGTTAGGTTAGTGTCGGGAAGGTTAATCATACGTTAGGTTAGGGTTAGTGTCAGGAAGGTTAATCATAATTAGGTTAGGTTAGTGTCGGAAGGTTAATCTTCATAATGTGTTAGGTTAGTGTCAGGAAGGTTAATCATAATGTTAGGTTAGGTTAGTGTCGGGAAGGTTAATCATAATGTTAGGTTAGGTTAGTGTCGGGAAGGTTAATCATAATGTTAGGTTAGGTTAGTGTTGGGAAGGTTAATCATAATGTTAGGTTAGTGTCGGGAAGGTTAATCATAATGTTAGGTTAGGTTAGTGTCGGGAAGGTTAATCATAATGTTAGGTTAGGTTAGTGTCAGGAAGGTTAATCATAATGTTAGGTTAGGTTAGTGTCGGGAAGGTTAATCATAATGTTAGGTTAGGTTAGTGTCAGGAAGGTTAATCATAATGTTAGGTTAGGTTAGTGTCAGGAAGGTTAATCATAATGTTAGGTTAGGTTAGTGTCGGGAAGGTTAATCATAAGGTTAGGTTAGGTTAGTGTCGGAAGGTTAATCATAATGTTAGGTTAGGTTAGTGTCGGGAAGGTTAATCATAATGTTAGGTTAGGTTAGTGTCAGGAAGGTTAATCATAATGTTAGGTTAGGTTAGTGTCGGGAAGGTTAATCATAATGTTAGGTTAGGTTAGTGTCGGGATGGTTAATCATAATGTTAGGTTAGGTTAGTGTCGGGAAGGTTAATCATAATGTTAGGTTAGTATCAGGAAGGTTAATCATAATGTTAGGTTAGGTTAGTGTCGGGAAGGTTAATCATAATGTTAGGTTAGGTTAGTGTCAGGAAGGTTAATCATAATGTTAGGTTAGGTTAGTGTCAGGAAGGTTAATCATAATGTTAGGT